AGATGGGGCATGGAGTGAGGAAGGTATAAATGTTCACCTAGCTATGAAAAACCCACAGCAGCAGAACAAGAATGGGTCTTTTATGAAGACTAGATTGAGCTAAGGTCTAGGATCTTTGGTGTACCTTTATGACAATTAATTCATCCCTTTGGATCTACTCTAATCTTTAAAAATGCCATGTACTACAATTAGCAAGTCAGTTTTTGTCATTTTAGAGTCAGACAAAGATCTAGTCAGGGTTGAGAGACTAGTTTGTCTTCATGTTAATAGTCACAATATTAACTGGTGATGATGTTGGGGTAGCTAGAACCCAATATATCAAAGGGAAAAAAGGCAGTCAGCACCCTGGACAAGTTCCTGATGTCAGAGTCTCCTCTCACACTTCAGTAGGATTTCCTTGTCTTTTACCAGGAGAGAATAGGGCCCCTGTAAATCCCAAATTTATGGGCAAAAGCCAGATCTGGAATCCTTTTCAGTTGAACAGAGCCTTCTTTGTTAAGATTTCACAGCAAGATTAGTTAGGATGCACCAAGTACAGACATTTTACCCAAAGAGCTGATTGTATCATTTTCAAATGATCTATTACCTGGGGTCTCCACCCGTCTGTAATGGTAGGGGTTGATGCACACTTCTTTCTGCTTCGAGCCAAATGGAAACTCGCAACATTCCAGTGGTTTCAATTCATGGTGAGACTGTAAATCAGGCCAACGCCACACTCTGCAATAGATGACATGGGGCAGCCCCTTGCGATGGGACACCTGCAGCCTCCCGTCCAAGGAGCGTGGGATTGTGACACACTTGCTGGGCTGGCCAGGACAGCTCAGAGCCCTCTCAAGCTCTTCCATGGCACCTTTCTTCTTCTTCAGTTTCTTCACCAGGGAATCTACAGCCTTCTCCGCCCACTTTTCCTCTTCATCTCCTTGCTTCCAGCCCAGCAGTCTTTTCACTGCTGGGCTGGTGAAGGAGAACAATGAGCTAATAGGGGTGCTGGAGTGCATAAGAAGCACCAATCTCTCAGCTGCTTACAAAGCTTGGGTGAAGTCTTCACAATATTCAAAGCTTGGGTGAAGTCTTCACAATATTCAGACAGGGCAGTGGCTTTCACAGAGAGCCTCTTCCCCACATAACAGTCTTCCTAGTGTTAGGCACAGGATGAGAACTTTGCAACTGCGTGGGACTCCGACCTTTCCCCAATAGCACGAAAATGTTGATCAAGCCTGAAACAACAACACAACCTGAGTTAGGTTTAATATAATTCCTGATTTATACTTTTAATAAAATTAGATTTTAAAAAAGAGAAAGAACCTCAAAAGTTTGCTTACTGTTCACTCTCTCTGCTATTTTGTATGCAATATTACCCTTGGAAGCTGGGTCCTTTGTTTTTACATTTCTCTAATATTAGACAAAGCAAAGCATCTATGTAGCCATTTAAACTAGCATTTTCAGACGGTTTCTCGAGAAAGACACTTCCTGCTGTCATGCACTAGGAAAATGCTGCAATGTTGGGATTGCAACAATTGCAAAGGAAAGTTCATTGATTAAAAAACTCCTTTCTTAAAGCTAAAAAAAATTATTTGGTTTTCAGTGCCGTTGATGTATATCTTCGCATATCCTCACCTTAGGACTAAATTTCATCCAATAGAAAAATAGTTTTTAAACTAGATGAGGCATTGTTTTTCTGAACACAACTCCTCTCCTGCTCCTGAAATCTTATGCTATCTTGAGTCATATGCCATAATCAATCATCAGAAATTGTAATTACACTAGTCTCAATTTTTCACTTAATAACTTTAAAAAATCTATAACTATTTTAAAGTTATTTTCTCTCCACTCCTCATGAAAAGAAGTCATATTTACTCCGCTTTCTCTAGGAATTCAAAGCTTCTGAATGTGAATCACAGACTTCATGACACAACCGAATAGATGGATCCTGTGCTGTATTTGCTAGGAAATGGTCAGTATGAAGACACAGAAACATGTCTATTGACCTTGATTTTTATCTGCTTTGGTTTAAGTAACCATTCTCCAGATACTTACTGATGGCTCTGTCTCCCAGCCCCCTCCCTTTTTCTTCCCTCCCCTTCCTCTCCCCTATTTATTTCGAGTGTACACATCCCAACTCATAACTTCGGTCATCTGAAGAAGCGGGCTGTTCCCATGAAAGCTCATAATACCATCTACATGTTTTGGTAGTCTATAAAGTGCTACCAGGACATTTGTTGGTTTTTTTATAGGTACTTCAGTTAGGAAGGCTGGAGGTGCTGCAGCTTGAAGTGCTTTCCATCATATACAGGTTTTACAGTTCAGCCCCACTACACAAATTGTTCCAGCACCCAGTCACCCAATCTTAAAAAAGCTAATATTAGCAATGGGAAAGGTACAGAGAAGGGCAACAAAAATTATTACAGATATGGAAGAGTTTCTTTATGACGAGGGATTAAAAAGAGTTGAACTGTTTAGCCTGGAAAAGACAACTAATGGGGAGAAATAGCAGATCTATAAAATCATGTGAAGAAAACATGTTACTTATTCCTTCACAGAACACAAGAACCAGGGGTCACTCAAGGAAATGAAAAGGCAGCAGGTTTAAAACAACCAAAGAAAAGTACTTCTTCACACTATGGATGTAAACGACTAGTCGACTACCTGATGAGCAAATGGTTATCAGGTAGTTGAGTAGGAACACGACCAGTCACCTCCCCGCCTACACTGCCTCTATCAGAGAGATGCAGTAAGGGAGGGTGGGGGGAGCAGGAGCCGGTTCTGGGGGAAGCCAGCTTAAAAGCAGATTCCTTCCAGCACCATCTCCATGAGAGGTAGGGGAGGCAGAGGGCAGCAGGGAGACGGGGCGAGTGGCAATTGAGACAAACCCACTTGCGCTGGTTCCAACCGCTGCTCTTCTCCCTTTCAAATGTACCACAGCCGCCTGCAGAAGAGGCACAGAGGGGAACCCGCGCCAGCGTGATTGTTTCCGTCCCCACTGGCCTTTCTCCTTTTGAAATCAGAGGCAGCAAGAGGGGAAGTGAGGAGTCAGAGCTACGGATGTAAGCAACTAGTCAGGTAGTCGAGTGAGTACTCTGCTAGTCACCTAGAGCAGGGGGGAGGGGGGAGGGGAGAAACAGAAGCCGGGGTTGGGTGAGGGGGGAGAAGGGGAAGCTAACTTAAAAGCCAGTTCTTCCCAGCACCATCTCTGCAGTGAAAGGTAGAGCCACAGCCACCCCACCCCCACCAGGGAGCTAACCCTGCTGCAGAGTAGTTTGGGCTGCTCCAAATTCCAGCCTCATGTGAGAAAATGAAAACCTGGATGGGAAGGAACAGTGATGATGATCAGATCCTATTTAATGAACAGAGAACCTAGAGAGCCAATGATCAAACCTGCTGTTTTAGGCTGATTTGGAACACGGGGAACATTTCTTATCTAAGGGGTGTCCCCGGGCACTAATGTATGTAAACAACTGTTCTAGATAAGGCAATCCAATTTTACAATTAGCAGATCTGAAAGCATACGTGGAATACAAACTTACATGCGTAAGAATATTGTCCTGGGATTTTTTTTCCATTTTGAACAAGGTTTTAAATAAACACATTAATCTCTTCCAGTCAAATTAAATAATTCAACAGTGACCTCAGCATGAGTCTGAACACTATTGTTGTTAGTGGGAGAGAAGCCAAGGGTACAGTATAAAAGCAAAAGCAGTGCTCTGCAGATCATGTGATGAAGTCTAAGATAAGGCTATATTATATCATTTCCTTTTGTGCACCTTCATTTCTCTCTTAAAACAAAATTTTTAAAAACATCTGAATACAAAGCATAAATGGTATTAAATGCTGCTTTGAGATATACATACCCTATACTGATATTGACTATTATTATCATCAAAACATCCTGCCTCAATGCTATTAGATTACATAATACTGCTGGCTGCTCAGCAGACGAAGTCATTTGTTCCTGTACCTAAATGTTCCATTATGAAATACCTAGGCAGCCTCTCTGCTATAGTGCTGTAAAGACAGGAATAGGGTAATTCACAACTTAATTTAATTTACATAATCTTTTAGGACCACATCTGTTTCAGACTTAAGCATCTTCTATCAAGCAACTTATACGGGGAGTGGCTGCCTGCTGCACTCCTAGGTTAAAGTTTTGAAGGGCTTTAAGCAATGTCTGATGACATGTTTTCAGTTTTGATAGTCTGGTATGTTCTATGCTGATGACTGGAGTCCATGGAAGAAGGACATCTCAACTCTGATCATCAAACTCTATAGTTTTACAAAGTCATGAGCTTTGCCATTTGAGATCAAGTGTTACTACCAGTCCTGGTCTCACAGTCTCTAAATGTCAAGCTTTGTGGCAATAGCACATGCAACACTTGTGTAAATGCCTTGCATCATTTAGTCAACAACAGTTACTTCTCCAGCTTACTTGGCTTCACGGAACTCAGGTGGAAGGGTAAGACAACACAAAGCCATATTACTTTTCCACTGACTGCTCCTAAGATAGGGAGGCCCTTTAAAATGGACTGAAGAGCTGCTTCGGAGAATTCTGCAACCTGCCACTGTGGCTTTACAGAAGCCATACTAGTAAGGAGCCTGATATGAGGAGAGGCCTACAGAGGACACAGAGCCATCATGTGCATGCTGTTTTGTGACCTGATCCAACTCCCAGTGAAGTCAGTGAAAAGGCATCCAATCCAGTAAGTTAATGGAAGCTTGTCCAGCAACAACACACAGCCCCAGCATGACAGATTCAGGAATAGATCCTGGAAGTCTCACACACTGAGACAATTCAAGGAGTGCCCATGGAAGAACTGGTGCTGCTGGTAATATTTATTCCTGGACAGAGGACTAGCACAAGGTTTATGCATCACTTAATATGTCCCATTTAAATCAAATGTTGGGGACTTTAGTGGTGCATAGCCCCTGAGCTGATCACCATCACATGGGTGGATTTCACTTAACAAGTATAATCCTGCTCTTACGGAAGTCAATGGGAAAAGTTCCACTGGTCTTAAAGAAAACAGGACACGCCTACAAGCTACTGTGTATAGAGCGGAAGCCGGTTTTGCCAAATGCTGTACACACACATATCTTCTGTAAGAATTGCATACACCTGTATGGATGCATTGGAAGGGTACATCTACACAGCAGCGTTATTTGGAATAACTGATGTTATTCTGAAATAACATAGTGCGCATCTACACAGCAAGCCATTATTTTGAAATAATGTCAAGCTGGAGGACTTCTTACTCTGATTCCTGGTAACCCTCATTTCACGAGGAGTAAGGGAAGTCGAAGGAAGATTGCTCTTCCTTTGACTTCCTACTACATAGACAGTGCCAAAAGCAGAAGTAAGCTATTTCGACTAAGCTACACAATTGACATAGCTGAAGTTGTGTAGCTTAATTTGACTTTAGCCCTGCTGTGTAGACATACCCTAAGACTGTCTTGATACCACAGTACACCCAACAGACTGCATGGTTGCCAATGTAGAGAAAGACTGCTGTCATCTGTTTCGGTGTCAATGAAACAACTGAATATGTTCACAGATATTCTCAAAGGGTTTCTTAGACATATACTGTACCATGCTTTGGGATCACATATTGCTAGACACTGGGAAACTGACTCTAGGACAGCAACTAAACCTCCACAAGAATTAAAGGGAAAAGAAATTATCTGCAAAGAAAATGTCTCAGATATAAAAGACACTGTGTTTTAAAGCAATAATATCTGTACATTTCTTCCATAATACGGTTACAACTAAAACCTCAGATTACTGTAACTAGAAAAGACAGAAGGAAAAGAGTAGGGTTTTTTTCAAAACATGTGCCTTTGACACCACATTATGTATATTCTGTTTCACTGCAGTCATTTCCCCCTGTTCTTTGTGTAGGTCTTTCACACAGCACCAAAGGATAGAAAAACAATTTTTAAAGTATGAAAGCATGAAGAAGTCATATACATATACTCATCTAAAATGAGTACAATGCTTTGTCATAATTAGCTCTTATACAGTGCTTTTCCATTAAAGATATTAAGAAGTGGGTAACTGACTAATCGTGTAGTTGATATAATTTATATTGACTACCCGATTAGTCAATAAGTGTCCCCACTACAGCTCTTCCGTTTAAATGTAGTAGGAGCCGGGCGCACAGAGCCACAGCAATGGTTGGTCCTAGACCGCTGTGCAAGCTGGGACTGAGCAGTCCCGGCTCGTGCT